TATAAGTAGACAAATACAGTCATCCTTGAAGGCTGGACTTATGGTTTTTGTATCTATTCAACCCATCTTACCTCATGTACATCCCTAGCATAGAGTAGAACATACACTAATAAAACTTGTCAAATTAAAAACTTTTTAAAAATGGAATGGAATTGTTTTTTCCAAATAAATCTTAAATGGAAACCTAACATGTAAAACTATCAAAAGGCCAGGGGTGGGGTGGAGGGAAGAGCTGCCTTATAACTAAACAGGAGAGGAGGTGGCCTTCCATTCACACTGCTGGAGACCCAGTTTTCTAGTTAATTAAACTTTGTAAAATTATCTAGGTCCATAATTCTGTTAGAACCACCCAGATGCCATTTTCTTATTCTGATAAGAGCTAGGACTTTTCACCAACAACATTTAGCATTGTGTCTAGGTGCTAAATTGGTTATTTTTGAATGAATGAAAAAAAAGGCTATGGCTCCCCAAAACAGTAACCTTTCCATAAAAGCACTCTTCCAATATTTCTTGAAATTCTGAGGATTTGCCTCTGAACGAATTTGGTTCATGAGAAGTAGAACCATGTGAAATCAGACATTGGTGGTGATCATTTAGAAACAGCAACAGCAGTGAGGGCATTACCTGCTGTATCAAAGGACACCAGTAAAGACAGTGAAAAGAATGATCCTCAGGATCGTGTCACTTACCGAAGGAGTATTTGGCCTTTGGAAGAAAGCCAGTAGCTAAGCAAGACAGCCTTGGGTATAGATAGCCCAGCTAGGCATTCTTCAGCTAGCTTTTATGGTAAAGATGCAGAGCTCCACAAGCAAGCTGAATTTCTACCACTGCTGCTCTCTCCTTTCCACACCACACCAGGCCCTTATCACTTAGCTCACCATCTGGAAGAGCCTTGTTAGTGGCCTCATCATCTCCAGGTTTTGATGACTCTAATCTACCCTCTCCAGGGTCACTGTAGGTCGGAACCAACTCGATGGAACAACAACAACAATCTACCTTATGGAGTTCTGCTGTGGTGCTGTGGGTTAATGCACTGAACCCCAAGCTCGGTTCGAACTCACTAGCAGCTCTTGGAAACCCTATATAGGGTCACTATGGGTTGGCACTGACTCGATGGCAGTTAACAATGACAACAATAATCTACCCTATAGAATGGTTTGCAACCCTGAGTGATTCCCTACTGCCTGTATAAAATCTATCTTCCTTAGATGAGACCTTCAAGGTGGTTTACAATCTGGCTCTAATCTACCATCCCAGCCTTCTCCACATTGCATCTCTGTCATCCCATCATCATATTTATACTCAGATGCCCTCCTATGTACCTCCATCTGCTGGAATCAGACTCATCTTTCAAGGCATGGAACCACAGGCATGTTCTTCTTGAGACTTTCTCTGATCCCTACCTTAAAATACAACTTTAAATAGCATTAGTCTTCACAATTTATAGAATGCTGATACATTTTACCCTCCTACCAGTTTGAACCACAAGGTTGCTAGTTCAAACCCACCAGCACTCCTCAAAAACCCTATACAGGGCCGCTATGGTTCAGAACCGACCCAATAGTACGTAACAAGACAGAAACAAAGGCACCGCTGAGAGAACTGGTCTACAGCCATTCACTGATTGCAGACATATTTAAACACATTTTGTTGGAATAAACTTATGCACGTATGAACTGGAAATCTAGCAGCAATACTTTTTGACTCCCCCCCACCCCCGCATGTGTGTACAGGTGTACTTAAAAGATAATGTACGTCCACAAGAACATCCAAACTTGCACATAGCACCCATTTGACCTAGCCTCGATTAGAACTTGACTAGAGGAAGAGAAAAAAGAAAACAATTTTTGATAAAGGAAATGAGGGTAAAGTGGTACAATTTGATGAACTTGATCTATAGTCAAGGAGGCGGTGGTGGTAGTGATTGTCATGGAGTTGGAACCGACTCATAGCGACCCTATACAGTGTTTCCGAGGCTGTAAATCTTTCCGGGAACAGAAAGCCTCATCTTTCTCCCGTGGAACAGCTGGTAGCTTCGAACTGCTGACCTTAAGGTTCGCAGCCCAATTTGTAACCACTACACTACCAGAGCTCCTTATTCAAGGAGGTTGTTGTTGTTGTTGTCAGGTGCCATCGAGTCAGAACCGACTCATAGCGACCCCATGCACAGCAGAACGAAACAATGTCCGATCCCGGGCCAACCTCACTATCGCTGTCACACTTGACACCATCAGTGATGCCACCTGGCTGATCCATCTCGTTGGGGGTCTTCCTCTTTTTCTCTGACCCTCCATCTTACCCATTCAAGGAGGTAGTAGCTCAAAATACCAACAGAGAGGGAAGGAGTCTTCATATCAAGTATCAATGCTATCCCCTCTGTACAAAAGGTAGATAGGGACCGGCAACTTAAGACACTGGCTACCTAAAATGAGGGGCGATAAAGGCACAAAGTGACTGGCTTATAAGGTTTCAAGAGGGAGTTTAGTTTCAGAGTGCATGGGAGAAGATAGAGTCACCACTGAATAGTTTTCATTTTGTCTACATTGGTTTGGTAAGAAGAAGAGATGGAAATTAAGATTCTTACGATTTAATAGTAATTGTTATCATGACTAATTGTGACTATCACAACTGTAAAGGTAGATTTGTAACAATAACTGGGGAGTAGTTAATCTTACATTCCAGGAACAGAGGACCCTAGTACCATCAAGGGAGAAGAGAACAGGCAGAATGTGGGACCCTATCCAGAAGAGCAAGGGACACCAGAGATGGAGGCAGAGATGAGGACAGGGAGAGAGGAAGCAGCTGAGGACTCTGGACTCATGGAAAGAGAGGGATTGAGTGCTGGCGGCCAGGAGGAAGGCTTGCAGAATGTGCCCTTTGGTTGTTTAAATTATTATATATTCCTGAGTGTTCTTTATATACAGTCCCCCCTCCAAAAAAGAAAAAAAGAAACAGATGATGCATGGAGGAGAAATGATGGTGTGTAGATGATTGTTCTCCCATGTAAACGATCACTCCATTCACAACAAAAACTGAAAATAAATCACTTTAAGGGAGAAACTTAAAAAAAAAGACTGCCTTAAGGAAAATTATCACTGCTTTCAATTACTTAAGTAGAAATTGTTGTTGTTAAGTGCTGGTGAGTCGATTTCGACTTATAGTGACCCTGTGTTGGGTTTCCAAGGAGCATCCTACTGAGTAGAAGAGTTTCCTATTAATTCTCAAACTGTCTTCATTTGTTTTCTTTTAAAGTAGCTTTGACTACTTAATAAAAAGTAACACAATGATTTAAAAGAGCAGAAGTAGTGACATTATGCTGACCACTCCAGTCATAGTATCTAAATCAACTGCCAGATCATGGCCTTGGTAGCACTCAGAGGGAACATTTCTGATGCAAAGCAAAACTTGATCACGTAACTGCTTTTAGATTATGTACAAAGTCTTCACTGAAGCCCTCTAAAAGCTCCAATTAAATCCAGTTAATGCTAACCTCGTGTGGATGGAGAAATAGATAACATATTCTCAAGCATGAAAAAACTTTCCAGTTTAGACGATGACCTATTCATTTGTTATATGTCTCTCTTCTCCTCTAACAACTAAAAAGTAACACTCATATTTGTGTTTCTTTAAATTTCCCCAACTCAAAAAATAAACTGCCATAAAGTAGTTTAAAGACTTTATATTAAATGCATATTCGTTACTATGACAATGATGCCACATAATATTAAAAAAAAAAAAAAGATAATGGAAATCGCCCATGAACTTTTTGAAGGCCCACTGTGTGTGCTGTGTGTATATACATACGTATCTATATGTTGTTAGTGCTGTAGATTGGTTCTGGCTCACAGTGACCTGTATATGGTTTCTGAGGCTTTAAATCTTCGCGGGAGTAGAAAGCCTCATCTTTCTCCCGCAGAACGGCTGGTGGACTCAAACCGCTGACTATATCCTTTCATTTTGCAGTATTTTTCTTAAGTACCAGGCGCTACTCTAAGCAATTAGAGGTTTCTGATTCTTGCTGTGAAGGTAAAGGGCAAGCAGGGGCCAAAGTGATCGACCATCTGCTCCTCTCTGGTGGTGGTGGTGAAGTGCCGTGGATTCCGACTCGGAGCGACCCTGTTTAGGGTTTCCAAGGCTATAAATCTTTACGAGAGCAGAAAGCTTCGTCTTTCCCCGGCGGAGCCACTGGTACTTTCAAACTCGCAACCACTACGCTTATAAAGGTCTGCATAAAGCACATATTCATTTTTTGGGGAATTTACAAATTACACAAAGGCGTTTACTGACAATAAATACACTGGATTAACTCTCCGAGTGGCTCTAGTATTGACAATGCACCTAGGTACCACACCTAAGTGAGTTACACTGACTCATTACAGACATGTTAAGTAAACAAGCTGGAGGGGTAAAGTACTAGTTTGCAACAGGTCATTCCTCTTACGAGGTCTCAGCAGGAAATCGAGAACCTTGACGTGATCTGTAACTTCTCCAGGGGGCCACCACGCACAGAGAGGGCAAAACAGTGGTCCGTAGTATGCAACAGTAAAAACCAAACATAGCGAAATCCTGGGTGCGGTGACACTCGGAGCGATCAGTTTGGAAATGTAAAGCCTTATACCAGGTCTGACCGAGACTGGGAGGGATGGCGCAGACAGGGATCTATGAACCCATGATTCGGAGTTCTGAAACTGCTCATAAGGGCATGGCGAATGGCCTGAGAACACCCCCTCACAGATAAAGGAGCCTGACAGTGGGTTAGCTTTGGCTTCCAGTTATCATCTCAAAATAAACAACTTAACGCAAGTAAAGTCGAAGTCTTTGAAACAACCTAAAGAAAAGAGTTCCCTGGATTCATGGCGGGCCACAGTCCTCCCACCGGGGGAGGTTAATGGGATCCGCTTGCAGCCCGGGCCTGGCCCAGCGGAGCCCGCTATTTGTTCACTCCGGGCGCCACAGTCACTCAACGCGGAGCCTCCAAGCGGATCAGGATTTGCGCCCACCTTGGTGCTGGGGTCTGCGTCGGAGCAGCACTTGAGAGCGGCCTCGTCAGTGAGGCCGCCGGACGCGGGTTGAGAGTCTGCCATGGCCGCACTGCAGTATCACCTACGCCAAAAGCCAGGAACCCAGCTGCCGCCGACACTCCTCCACCCAAGCTCCGCCGCGGCTTTTACAAGCTACTGCTGAGCACAACGCCGCGCCGTGGGGAGGGCCGCCGCTAACTTCTAGCCAATCGCTGAGCGGAGAGCAAGCTAGCTCTCTACTGATTGGATCCCAGTGAATCAGAACCTCAGGGTTCTACGTCCAGAGACTACAACTCCCGAGGCGCCTTGCGGACAAGGGAGGCGAGAAGTTTTTAAAAACCCAACCCAAACCAAACCAAACCCTTTGCCACCATGTCCATTCCCACTCACTGCGACCCTATAGGACTGCCCCATAGTGTTTCCTGGAGTCCTGTGGCGTTGTGTGTTAATGCCCTGGACTGCAGTCAGTTTGAACCGCAAGATCGGCGATTCATGCTCACCAGCTGCTCCTTAAAATCGGTATCCTGACTAGTGGCAAGACCTGGGGACTCTTGGGCCCAGAGTCAGTGACATAGCCGTGGAAGACTGGAGTGGAGAGTGAAGTGTCCAGCTGATAAGAAGAGAGGGCATATCCACAAGAACACCCACACTTGCAGATAATACCCACTTGACCTGGCTTCAATGACTGGATGATCAGAGCACAACTAGAAGAAAGAAGAGGATAAAAAGAGTAATCTGATACAATTTGATGAACTTGATCTACATCTATGGATGTAGTAGCTCAAAAGAGGAAACAATCTTTACATCAAGGATCATTCCCACCCCCTCCATACACAGAGTAGACAGGGATGGGCAACTTGGACATTGGCTACCCAAAGTGGGAGGGCTGCAAAGTCAAGAAGTGACTGGCTTTCAAGATTTCAAGAGGGAAGCTAGATCCAGAGGGCATGGACGAAGGTAGAATCTCCACTTAGTAGTATCCAATCTGTCTAGGTGGAACCGATGAAAGGAAATGCAGATAGGTCTCTTGTGATACAGTGGTGAATAATTGTTATCAGGACTGATTGTGAGGGTTGTAAATGTAAAGGTAGACGTTTTGTGGCAAGGAGAGGAGTGATTAACTTTGCAGTCTAGGAGCGGAGGTCCCTGGAACCATGAACTGAGAAGAGAGGAGAGCAAGACCCTACCCAGAGAAGCGATCCCTGAGATGGAGGCAGAGATGTGGACGTGGAGAGA